CATGCGCGTCACAAATTAGATGACGAGGCATTTGGCTATGAAATATTTATTATGCTCAAATTGAAATTACAATTTGGGCAGGGCGTGCCCCAGAAAGAGTAACTGCAAGCAGTGCGGAAACAGAGTGTCTTTGCGAATTTTTGGAAGAAACACAGACAATAAACAGTCAATAGATATTATCAGTCCAGCATGCAGGGGGAGCAGTCAATTGTGTTACAGAGTCTCTGCCGATACACAGTATGAGGCTGACTTATCACTGTCCGGGGGAGGGGGCATAGGCGCAAGCGCCGGGGCATCTATAAAACACTCCATCAGCAGGTAACCGCCACTGATGACTGGTCCGCAGCCGCTGAACTACTCAGAGCCAGCTAAACTACAGGGCCACCAAGTGGTTTAGGCCACCTGCGTCATAAGTGCACCACGCTGTTCTCGTATGCTTCAACTCTGCCCGCTCCACGAGAGTGCACATCGTAGGCCTTCAGAGAGCCGCGGATTACCGCCATACAACAATCGGACAAGTCATAGACGGATAAGCCGATGCTCCGTAACAGACGTTCACTGCGAGAGAAAATGCCGCCGCGGCAGGAAAACACAGCGGGGATGTGCACAACCAAGGTATCGGCCGAACGGCCAAGAAGCCTCCGCAAATTAGACTCAATCTCCGGTGTGGCGTACCGCGAATCTTTCGCTCGTAGATGTTCTCCATGAGGGTCTCCCCTGCCACAGCAACATCAATGACAGTGAACTCTGTCTCTGTGCAAAACACCAGGTCTGGCTTGCAAAAAGATGCTCCTTCCGGGATATGAGGCTCGACAAGAACCTCCCGCCCGTCTTTCAGCAAACGCTGTGCCAGCAGCCGCATCACAAGATTGTGACGCCAGACACGGGCTTGGTGCGTCAGATGGCAGCACTGGAGAATATGGAATAGGGTCTCTCGCTGACCACATTCACCTCGACACAACACGTCCTCGCGACCTGTCCTACGGGACCTGCGGGCTTTGGTAGAGAGGACACCCGCCCGAAGTTGGATGCCTCGCAAGAACAACCAAGGGAATACCCGAACAGGGGAGGAGAGCCAGTGATTGGCACAGGTGGAGTTCGCAAAGTAAAGAAGGGATCTGCCGTCAGCGGACTCATAGTTACTCCCGCCGTTTACCCGCGCTTGGTTGAATTTCTTCATTTTGACATTCAGAGCACTGGGCAGAAATCACATTGCGTCAAAACCGATCAGCAGACATCGCAATGCTTTGTTTTAATTAGACAGTCGGATTTCCCGAGTCCGTGCCAGTTCTGAGTTGGCCAACAACTGGAAGGAAGAGGTAAACATGGGGCAGTTAAGGGATCTCAGTCCATATACAAGCAAGGGTGGGTATCGATATATAACATAGACACTTTCCTAAGGGTGCAACATTGGAACAGTCAGAACAGTCAAGGGGTAGTAAGCAGTC